GAGAAGATTCAAAGCCAGCTCTCCCAGTACAAAGATGAGTATGCTGATAGACAAGGGCATGGAGACTGTGCCCTTTCATGGACTGAAAACATCACCCACACTCCCCACAGTTCACTACCCTCCCTTCGGTCTGGTCCCCAAAGGTTCCCTCTGAGCATTGCTTGGTCTTACACAAAAGTATGCCAGAGGGAGAGACGGACACGCTGCCTGTTCCCTCCGACCTCAAATAGTTCCGAAACAGCACTCTGACCTGAGCCGTGTCAGAGCCATCTGGACCAAAGGGCTCAGGGAGACCCACAGAAACACTGCCAGGGACCCCCACTCCCTCCCAGGCCTGTACTCACAAATTTTTGAGGTCCGTTGCTCCCCGGAAGGCTTTCCTGGGGATGGCTTGGATGGCGTTCTCACTCAGGTCCCTGTAAGGATGAAGCCAGATGGACAAAAACCACTGGTCAGAAAGCATACTCATCCAGAGGCTATGATGAGTTGGGTGTCAGGTGGCCGGATGGCACCAGGACTGGTCACCGCTGTGCCCCAGTGCCTGGGACAGTAACCATTCAACAAACATTTATTGACTCAATGCACGGCGGAGCTAGAGAGAGACGCATTGCCTCTGAGGGGGCTCAGCTCCGGCCCCCTCTGTTCTCCAGGCAGGGAGATTGCAGCTGGAGGGGCCCCAGCCCTGCTCACCAGGCCCACGGGGGTCAGGTCAGGCCCCAGAAGCACCGTCCAGGGCTGTGAAGGAACAAGCAATGGAGTGCAAATGTGACATCCCCAGCCGAGGGGCCCACTGCCTCCATGGGGTGTCTGTGGTGAAGGCGCCTGCAGCTGACGTTTCCACAGTGTTTTCTTGTGTACAGAGGCCACAGCACACTCTTGTAACAGTGCAACACTCTATGCTTTCCTGACAAGGAAACTGAGGCTCAGAAAGAAGACACAATCAACTCCAAGCTCCCTCAGCCCTGGAGGTGGCTGACCCACACTTTAACTCCAAATCCAGTGCCTGGGCCCCACTCGTGAATTGGAGCCCCTGAGGGAAGGGCCTCATCCACCCACACTGCCCACTCCCACTGGCCTGAGGGCTCCAGTGCTGGTCCCTGTCCTGTGGCTGGGAGGATAGAGATCATCAAGGGCTTAACTGGCATTGTGTGTGCCATGGCATTGATTTCAACCATAGCGACCCCATGTGACAGCCGAACTGCCCTATAGAGTTTCCCAGGCTGCGGTCTTTATGGGAGCAGATCAGCTGCTCTTTCTCCCACAGAGCGGCCAGTGGGTTTGAACTACTAACCTTTCAGCAGCTGAGTACTTAACCACTGAGCCACCAGGGCTCCTTGAGGACTGAACTGGGAAAAAAAAACAAAACACTGCCATCCAGTCGATTCCAACTCATAATGGCCCCCATAGGGCTTCCAAGGCTGTAAATCTTTACGGAAGCAGACTGACACATCTTTCTCCTGCAAAGCAGTTGGTGTGTTTCGTTGCCGAGCACTTTAACCACTGCACTACCAGGCTCCTCTACATGTGATCAGCATGTAGCACAGTCAACTTTAAGGAAAGTAGATGACCATCCATAATGTGGGTGGGCCTCATCCAATCAGCTGAAAGCCTTAAAAGGAAGCCCTGAGACTGCCCGGAGAGCAACCTACTCCTCAGTGATACCACCTGGGAAACCCAAGGAGGGCTCGCTAGGAGTCGGTCAGACTCCACGGCAGTGAGTTTGGTTTGGTATCTCTATGGAAATAGATTACCCAATCTTCCTTCCGAGGAGTGCCTGGTGGGTTTGAACCGCCAGGCTTCTGGTTAGCAGTCAAGTGCCTTAGGCACTATGCCACCAGAGCTAAGCCCCACTAAATATTAATCTCAATCAACTCTGCACGCTCTGTTTCTCTCTCAGACACACGCGCACACACACACACATGCGCACAGGAGTCTCTGGGTGGTGCAGTTAACGTGCTTGTCAGCTTACCAACAGTTGAAGGTTCCAGTCCACCGAGAGGCGCCTCAGAAGACAGGCCTTGTGATCTACTTCTGAACGACCAGCCTCCGAGGACCCCACAGAGCACAGCTCTGCTCTGACACACAGGGGTCGCCAGGAGCCAGAACCAACCCCACGGCCCTGGAGGACTGCCCCACGTGTCTCATTGGCTCTGTTTCTCTTAAGAACTCTGACTGACCCGCATCCCCATTTTACACCGGAGGAAGGGAGACCTGAGGAGTTAAGCACCGTCGCAGCCCTGGGAGTGGGCATTTTGACCCCACCCACTTTGCAGAGGAGGGAACTGAGTCCCAAGAACTTAAGTAAATAACCCAAAGCCAAAACCTAGATGGGGAGCCACCTGGTCTGCCCAGAGCCCGGCATCAGGCACATGCTCAGAGCCCTTAGGCTGAACAACCAAGGGGTGACTGTCCTAACGTGGGGCCCCAACACTGGCAATTTCTTCAGGCCACTGGGCCTTGCCACCAGGGCTGTGACCATAGCCTTTCTTCCCACATTCACCCATGGAGCCTCAGGGTTTGCTGCCAGCCCTAATAATACAGCCCACAGGCCCCTCCCAGGACGCTGTCCACTGAGCTGTGGGGCCACCCTCTCTGGCTAGGTATTCCTAGCGAGACCAGGAAGGACAGGTGTCACCGCAGTGTGCACCAGGGCCCTGGGCTCAGAAAGTCAGGAAGGCCGAGTTCAAACGCCAGCTCTCTCACCTCCTGGCTGTGTATGTCAGTCAGTCCCTTTCCCTCCTGAGACTCAGAGTCCTCGCTTACGAATGAGGGAAAGAGGAGCCATCCCCAAGCCCCCGAAGTCTCAGCCCCTCTGCCCCTCCCCAGGCAGCCCAAGTCTCTGTGGTCTTTTCACCCCCGGCACTCCCAACGCTGCCCTCTCCCCGTGAAAGGCATCTCAAGCCCGCAACGCTGACACTTCTCCTTGTCCTCCAAAACTGAACAACCTCTCATTCCAAACTGTGTCTTGCTTTGCTATAATTGACCTGTCTCTGTCCCTAACTCAGCAGCAGCTTCCTCTTTGCCTTGGGCAGGTAGTAGCAGTCCCTCGTCCCACCTCCTTGCTCCTCCCAGTGCCGCAACCCCATCTGCACACTGTGCTCTCGAGCTTTTGACCTCAGTCATTCGTACCACCTCCGGCTCCCCGGTGGTGTTGTTGTGGTTAGGTGGAGTCATCTCCAGCTCATAGCAACCCCCTGTACAACAGAACGAAACACCGCCCAGTCCTGCGCCAGCCTCACGATCCCTGCTGTACCTGAGCCCATCATTGCAGCCACTGTGTCAGTCCATCTCATTGAGGGTCTTCCCCTTTTTCACTGACCCTCCACTTTACCAAGCATGACATCCTTCTCCAAGGAATGGTCCCTTCTGACAACATGACCAAAGTAGGTGAGACGAAGTCTGGCCATTCTCGCTTCCAAGGAGCATTCCGGCTGCACTTCCTCCAGGACAGATCTGTTCATCCTGGTTGTCTGTCAGTATTCCCTCACTCCACTGATGTAGGGTGCTCCCCAAAAGGCTCCCAGCACCCCACTTCCCACTCCCTCTCAGTTTCCCCTTTTTCAGCTATTCCCACCCACTCTGCTTATCCTGAGAGGAGGCATTTCAGCCTTGAATTTCCTGCCTAAGCCTGCTGTCATCTCTTCCTCTTCTAGAAAGAGCTCCCTCGATCGCTATATCCCCTTCCCAATTTCTCTGCTGTAATTGCCACCTTAATGAAGATCCCATAAAGACGCTGGTGTTCTCTTGTCTGTGGACTGATTCCCTCTCTCTCCCTAAATGGGGTGCTGGTACTGGGCAGGGGGTTCTGGCAGCTTCCACTGGGTTTGATGCAGGGGCTGTGCAGGCCACACAGGTAAACAAAAGACTGCCAGCACTAAGTGGCTCCTAGTGACACAAGCTCCTGAGTAACTAGAAGCTGAGGCAGACTCACCTGCCCGAGCACCTACAAGCACTGGTCACAGTGCCACTACACTTTGAGGTGACTGGTCACACAACACTAGATGACTAACACAGGGTGCTGTGGGGGAACCTTGTTGGTGGCCTGGACCCTGAGGGAGCCTTCATGGAAGGAAGAGGCATGAGCAGACTTGAAGCCAAGAAACTGAAGCGGTGCTAGATGGCTACTTGCTTCCCTCCATTTCTGTGGGCCTCAGTTTCCTCATTTGTCAAAAGTACAGACTCAAAGCCTCCCACCATCATCGACCCACCTCCTTCCCTGTTTCTCGCCACATGCTGACTGCTCCAAGACACACCAAATGAGGCATTTGGTTCTTTAGGACATTTGAGAGCCCAGGAAGGAGGGAAGCCCTGTTGTTGACGCTAAAACTTCTGAGAGGAAGGAGTAGGATGGAAGAAGACACACACTCACCTTCTCCAACCCACAGGGAACCAGGAAAATGGAGCACAGGTGGTGAGGGTGAGAGAAAGGCAAGAAGGGGTGGTGGCTTGGAAGGTGGAAGACCCATGAGAGGGGGGACCTCTCGTGAGGAGCTGCCAGGAAACCAGAAGCTTGCCCTTTGGCGCAGCCTTGGAGGGAACCCTGGGCCAGCACTCACGTCCATTATCCCATTTAATCCTCACCACAACCCTAGAAGGAAGGTGGTTTATTTCTATTGATTAGCTTATTGATCTATACCCACCCTTGTTCCAGAAAGGCTTTAAGGTGGCTGACAGGGATTTATAAAACAGCAAGAAAGCAGGAGGGAAAAGTGGGCCAAAGAAGAAGGAAAATCAATGGTGGGAGCTGAGAATGCACGCGCTGCCTGAGCCCACACTCGCCAAGTGCAGGCAGAGCATGGGCTGTGAGCTTTCTGAGAGCCAGTGCGCACAGGGGGACCTGGTCCGTTAACACTGTGCCCAACAGATGCGTACATTCGAAAGCTCCTGTTTCTCAGGAGTACAGCTGTTTTGGGCACTGAGATGAGACAAGAATTTTCCCAGGGGTCTTTATAAAAAATGACAGTGTGGCCCAATCAATAACACTATAGCCTTGTAAGAAATGGGTTTCAAGCATCTGTTTCTTATAATAGTGTTGCATCAAGGTACAATTCAGAAAAAGCAATTCTATACAGGTCACACCAGGAACAAGGGAGGGAAGGGAAGGGCAGACTAAGGGGCAGGGACAGTCTGTGTAAGACACGGAGGCATGACAGAGCCATGCACGATGAGGCTGACTTCAAGTAGCTGAGTTTGCCTGGAGCAAAAGGTACTGGGAAAGGGGTCACTGGTAGAAGTCTTGTGGGCCAGGGAAGTTGATGAGATAGACGCACAGAGAGGGGTGTGATCCGATCCTGGATGGTGGAAAGGGTTAACACGCTTGTCTGCTAACCAAATCGTTCCAGTTGACCCAGAGGTCCCTTGAGAGGAAGCTCTGCTCCTGAAAGATCAGCCACTGACAACTCTACAGAGCAGAGTT